AATTTTGGATTCTGCTAGTTTCACTATCACCTGTTGATCGTTGCAACATTTTATAATGCAATGCAGTTAACAGAGCAACAACACCAGATAAACCTTTATCTCAATAATTACATGGAAAATCAACTACTCGTAATATTGCGAAGAAAAAAGTCAACCAATTACTAGTCATCTCAAATTCTCATGAAAATATGCTTTAATTCATAAATCAGTCACTCACAAAATATTTCGCCACTGTATTTGATGAAATGAAAGATTAATATATTAATATGAATGCAATATATACTCTCTCTCTCTCTCTCTCTCTCTCTCTCTCTCTCTCTCTCTCTAACTCTTTGCGTGTCGCTAGTGATCATTGTTTTTTGTGTCTGAATTTCTGGAACGGGGAAATATCATTATTTACACTATTTATATTCAGGCTATTTTCCTCATCTTTGTTAATGTTATCACTTTTCGGTCGTAGTGCCTTTGGGCTCATAGGTAACCCGGATCGATATAGATTTGATGAAGGCCGGGGGGTACAGCGGTCAAAACGTTGTTATGACAACAACAATGATGAGGCAAATAGTCCGAATGTAAATAGTATAAATATTATTATTCTTGTCTGTTGTCATTCTCAGCGATACTACCTCCTCCTCCATTTTGTCTTATGTGATATTTGTTCTTCTCTCCATTTGAACAACTTGTCAAACTACTCACTGCTTTTCTCTGCTTCTCTTATTGACAACATTAGATCATTCTACATTCAAACAATATACAGGGATGCATTCATGAATACACTCACTAAAACATATGTACACATAAAATAACTCACATTCATCCCTTACCCGTTATTTGGGTTTAAGTAGAAGTTTTCAATTACAGGAATAAATGTGCAGCCGCACTATATAGATTAGACTAATTTATACTTACTGTCAAAACAATTATGGCAATATTTAATAATCTTGCATTGGTTATATTTTTTGCATGAGGTTGGTTTAGTTTGTTCAATGGTACATCAACTCCTTATGGGTCATTTAATGACGAAATTTAATTTTCTTGGCTGCTTTGGTCATTTTTATTCAAAACTGCATTGCTACTAATTTTTTTACTATGAAAATATATTGCTCTTATTTAAAATGTATTTTAATATTTTTATGATGTTTTGAACCCAGTTTGGGGTTCACTATAGCGGGGACCATAACAGATGCTACTACCCCGGGTCAGGGTGGACCTAAGAACAACATCAATTAAGAGGTGGTTCCAAGCTCCTCAAGGCCTTCAGATTAAAGGACTTGCTGTCGGATGTAGTTTATCATCATACCCAGAACAATTCTGCATGTGAAACCTAGTACTTTTATGCATACAACTGAATGTTATATATAAGAAAGGCTTTTTTAAATTATTAAAAGGAACATACCCAAAAAAAGCTAGCATGAAACAAAAGAAATAAAAAGCACTGTATTAACAGTCTGATCTCCCTTACTTAACAATAAGGTATTATATTATTAATACAGCGCATGATCGGTTATAGCTCGCAAGTACTACTTCCGGTTACCAAAAGGAAGGAACAGCTCATTATCTCTAATAGAGAAGATAAGGCTACGAGATCGATATAAAAAGTTGTATTTTGTTTTATATAAAAAGAATACATAGCTATTCAAATACAGCTCTGAATTAATATCGGCTCATAGCTACCTATTTATTTTTTTTTATTGTATTTGTATAAAATATCACTGTACAATGAGCAATCTTCTGTTCGTTCTAAACTGATATTATGAGTTCAGAAATTAAATTTTGCTAAACATATTTAGTTCAAAATATTGTTGAAAAACATTCCTGTTATTGTCGTTGTTTCTGTTAATCAGTGAGTTTTCCTTATCAATAGTCAACTTTCCCTGGAGATCAACTGACGGGAAGTTTATTCTTCAGAGTAGGATTTTTATTGATTTTCGTAATTCAGTTATCTGGATGGTTTCAATACTTTTTCCGATTTTTAACTCTTCCAACTTCTTTGCAAGGATCTTAGGAACTGCTTCAAGAATGCCAATAAGGATAGATAAATTTACCGTTATGCCCGGCAATCTTTTTAGCTGGCTGATCAAGTCCAGATATTTTTCTTTCTCTTTCAATTTTATTCAATTATACTTTTCCTCCATCTCCTCCTCTTTATCCATCTTTGCAATGGATTACTTTTTTCATCTTATATACCCATCTCTTCCGCCTTCCCAACTCTCTTGTGAGGAATGACATTTTTTTAACTTCCTCCGCCTCCTCTTCATCCGCATCCCCCACCCTTAACTGTCGTAATACTGAGGTGGAACTATTTTTGCATTTCTTCACTTATTATTTTCCAGATTATGCTTTTTCATTTAAGAAACAATATCCTAAGCGACACCTAATTTCGATTATTTTATGTATGTTTATGTTTACACCATATGCCTGCTGGTTGTTGCAGATTAAGGATAATGAAATCTCAAATCCTTTTCAGTATTCTCTCAAACCACTGTAGCGAATTATCAATTAATCCAATCTCACATCAAATGGTTCCAAGTGCTCCAGTTGTTATTGACACAAGTCTAATATTTGCACCTTAATATTTGTCTATAGGCTCTACTAAACCTATATTATTACAAACTTTCCCTATCACGTCTGGTCTTATTGTTTTTGGTGACGTGGTATTTGGTTAGTATACATGATCTAAGTCAAGTATTCAACTGATTCTCTACTCTTTCATATTTGCTTTTAGGTCCACTTTCAACCAACTTGCTGCTTTCACTTACGATGTGTCTGATAATTTCTTTCTCTACAAAGAAGACATTTATTCTTTTCATGTGTTTTATTTGCCTTTAGCTTTCATATAAATCGTCATTTGTTTTTAATATGAGATTCAGTTTCTCTTTTCGGATATTCTCTGACACCTTAACGTCCTTTTAACGCCCTTTATTCTCCATCTGCGGTTTTCCTACTGAAAATTTCAATGCAGTGTTTTACTTTCTGATTTTATTTATTTATTGCACTCTTCTTTCTGTCAAAGTTTATTATCAGTTTATCACTTGCTTTTTTCTTACGAGCAAATTTTACGAGCCTTTCAACTTTCGTGTACGTGTATTTGAAAATCTATTTCAGCCGTCTGTATATACCTCTGGATACTGATTATTCCTTTTTTCACTTTTCGTTTTTTATGTATCATGACTGAGATAATTAACTTTGTGCATCGTTAAATGTTTTTATTTTAAGTAATTGTGTTATTTTTATTATCTCCTTTTTAGGTTTCACACCAGTTATATCTCGTTGATTTTACTGTGTTACTAGTTTCCTTAATGCTCCTGCATATTCCTCAGGTTTCGTGGTGATTTTAGGTATGCTGATGGTATCTTAGTTATTTCAATTCTTCTAAAGATCTGGAGGAATGTTTCAAATGTTGTGCTGTATCTTTTTGTTCCTTCTGTGAGAATTCTGTTTCATTTTTCACGTGTCTTTTCTGCTACCAGATCATTTTGTCGACAAGTATTATTTTGTGTCTCTTATTTTTCCTGGTGCTGTTATTTTCTTCTACACTCTTTAGTTTGTTTTTGTTTTGTTTTTTTTTTTTTTGTTTCTGTTTTTTTCAATATACCTTGTTATAGTTTCTACTGCACAAAATACTTTAATCCACTGATTGTCACGTAAACAGTTTTCTCTTTTCACTTGATATAGACTCTATCGATACTGTTTCTTTATACATATTTATTCATTTCCGAGTTCTTAAATCAGATTTCTCGTTACCACCTTTATGTAGATGAAGAAGCATCCAAAATATCTATGGATACTGCCTATGTATTTCTGTTATAGATTCTCGTCGACTTTTCTTCTTCATCTCAGATTTTTCTTTACACTTTTAATGACTTCATCCTTAAATAAATCCAGTTTCAGTATTCCAAAATATTTTTATTCAATATTTTAAATGATCTCAACATAAAACATTTTTTTTTTTTAATTTAGAAACTTTTTTACCGTTTATTCTATTGACAAGATGATCAATACGTTATCGTTTTTATTTTATATGCACAAATTCTAGTGGGATTTTGACGCTGAAACGGATCACTGAATCCATACCAGAAAATCAAATCACTTATTTATTGTGAAAAACATCAAACAAAGTTAATTTTGCTGTTCCAATAGACCACTCATTAAAATTAAACAAAAGTGAAAATATGAAAAATAAATTATGGAATAAGGTGACAGCTGTTCTGATGGTTTTTTGAGTACTGGGAGAAAAAAGGTTGGAATGATTTAAAATCGTAGAAAGAGCCGAAAACATCAAGAGAGTGGCACTATATAGATTAGTTAGAAAGATATTTGTTCAAGAGTACTAGAGTACTGAGATTTGCTGTCACATCAGTGAATGTCATTATATTAGTGGTACACAAGAAAAACAGACTGAATCAAAATTCAAACACGTCATTAATAACAAAGTTAATGATAAATGTTTTGATGTTCATTCAATAAATACACTTTTATAAAGTAGACGAACATAAAGAGATGAGAAAAGGTTATCTGAAGAGATAAGACAGATACTGGAAACAAAGCTAATTACTATAATTTTCATAAAAGGAACTGAGATACACTTGACGCTTCCTAAGATGGTCAAGAGAGGAACTTAAAGTGATGAATCATCGCATGGACGCAGAGTGTAACGATGCGCCTCACGTGTCATTGCACAAGCTGCGATGACATCCAAAGTCGGATGTATGCGTATGTCGCAGTGTGTCCAATCACCACTCCCACCTTTTCTTAAACAATCCCGGATATGCCTGCTGGTAGAGAAAGTGACACGACCCTTGTGTGCTAAAAATAGCAACGACATCCTTTCAAACTGACAGAAACACAGAAAACTCAATTTTCGCCACTAAACAAAAATAAAAGACCTTTAATTTTGCACCGAAATTAATTTAACTACAGTCAACAAACACCAAACACACTTTTGACTGTAATTTATACGGCCCGAAATTAATTATATTCATTTACTTGTTTAGCGTCACCGCTTCTCTTGTATGAACCGTCATATCTAGATGCCCGAGACTTCGCAGCGGATTTGAGCTGTCCACGGAAGCAGCCTGGCCTTCGGGCTGGGTTGCGACCATGGCAAAGTCTAGTTTGGACCATATCAGGACCTGCTAAGACAAGCCAAGACCAAAACTTGACTAAGCCTTGACCAGCTTGGACATGTTATGACCAATCTTTGACCAGTGACCCTATGCGGAAACGCTCGGGTTTCCCACGAAAAACGACCTTGTGTCACGTCTTGACCTCGTGGGAGTCAAGTAAATACCGCCAGCCAGGGAAGCAGCCCGGCCTTCGGGCTGGGTTGCGACCATGGCAAAGTCTAGTTTAGACAATATCAGGACCTGCTAAGACAAGCTAAGACTAACTTGGGCCAGAACTTGACTAAGCTTTGACCAGCTTGGACATGTTATGACCAAAACAATGACTAAGCCTTGACCAGCTTGGACATGTTATGACCAATCTTTGACCAGTGACCCTATGCGGAAACGCTTGGGTTTTCCCACGAAAAACGACCTTGTGTCACGCCTTGACTCCGTGGGAGTCAAGTAAATACCGCCAGCCACGGAAGCAGCCCGACCTTCGGGCTGGGTTGCGACCATGGCAAAGTCTAGTTTGGACCATATCAGGACCTGCTAAGACTAACTTGGACCAGAACTTGACTAAGCTTTGACCAGCTTGGACATATTATGACCAATCTTTGACCAGTGACGCTATGCGGAAACGCTCGGGTTTCCCACGTAAAGCGACCTTGTGTCACATCTTGACCCCGTGGGAGTTAAGTAAATACCGCCGGCCACGGAAGCAGCCCGGCCTTCGGTCTGGGTTGCGACCATGGCAAAGTCTAGTTTGGACCATATCAGGACCTGCTAAGACATGCCAAGACCAACATGGACCAGAACTTGACTAAGCTTTGACCAGCTTGGACATGTTATGACCAAAACATTGACTAAGCTTTGACCAGCTTGGACATGTTATGACCAATTTTGACCAGTGACCCCTATGCGGAAATGCTCGGGTTTCCCACGAAAAACGACGTTGTGTCACATCTTGACGCCGTGGAGTTAAGTAAATACCGCCGGCCACGGAAGCAGCACGGCCTTCGGGCTGGAGTTGCGACCATGGCAAAGTCTAGTTTGGACCATATCAGGACCTGCTAAGACATGCCAAAACCAACTTGGACCAGAACTTGACTAAGCTTTGACCAGCTTGGACATGTTATGACCAAAACATTGACAAAGCTTTGACGAGCTTGGACATGTTATGACCAAAACATTGACTAAGCTTTGACCAGCTTGGACATGTTATGACCAATCTTTGACCAGTGACCCTATGCGGAAACGCTCGGGTTTCCCACGAAAAATGACTTTGTGTCACATCTTGACCCCGTGGGAGTTAAGTAAATACCGCCGGCCACGGAAGCAGCCCGGCCTTCGGGCTGGGTTGCGACCATGGCAAAGTCTAGTTTGGACCATATCAGGACCTGCTAAGACAAGCCAAGACCAACTTGGACCAGAACTTGACTAAGCTTTGACCAGCTTGGACATGTTATGACCAAAACATTGACTAAGCTTTGACCAGCTTGGACATGTTATGACCAAAACATTGACTAAGCTTTGACCAGCTTGGACATGTTATGACCAAAACATTGACTAAGCTTTGACCAGCTTGGACATGTTATGACCAAAATATTGACAAAGCTTTGACCAGCTTGGACATGTTATGACCAATCTTTGACCAGTGACCCTATGCGGAATTGCTTGGGTTTCCCACGAAAACGACTTTGTGTCACATCTTGACGTCGTGGGAGTTAAGTAAATACCGCCGGCCACGGAAGCAGCACGGCCTTCGGGCTGTGTTGCGACCATGGCAAAGTCTAGTTTGGACCATATCAGGACCTGCTAAGACATGCCAAAACCAACTTGGACCAGAACTTGACTAAGCTTTGACCAGCTTGGACATGTTATGACCAAAACATTGACTAAGCTTTGACCAGCTTGGACATGTTATGACAAATCTTTGACCAGTGACCCTATGCGGAAACGCTCGGGTTTCCCACGAAAAACGACCTTGTGTCACATCTTGACCCCGTGGGAGATAAGTAAATACCGCCGGCCACGGAAGCAGCCCGGCCTTCGGGTTGGGTTGCGACCATGGCAAAGTCTAGTTTGGACCATATCAGGACCTGCTAAGACAAGCTAAGACTAACTTGGACCAGAACTAGACTAAGCTTTGACCAGCTTGGACATGTTATGACCAATTTTGACCAGTGACCCTATGGGGAAACGCTCGGGTTTCCCACGAAAACCGACCTTGTGTCACATCTTGACCCCGTGGGAGTTAAGTAAATACCGCCGGCCACGGAAGCAGCCCGGCCTTCGGGCTGGGTTGCGACCATGGCAAAGACTAGTTTGGACCATATCAGGACCTGCTAAGACATGCCAAAACCAACTTGGACCAGAACTTGACTAAGCTTTGACCAGCTTGGACATGTTATGACCAAAACATTGACAAAGCTTTGACCAGCTTGGACATGTTATGACCAAAACATTGACTAAGCTTTGACCAGCTTGGACATGTTATGACCAATCTTTGACCAGTGACCCTATGCGGAAACGCTCGGGTTTCCCACGAAAAATGACTTTGTGTCACATCTTGACCCCGTGGGAGTTAAGTAAATACCGCCAGCCACGGAAGCAGCCCGGCCTTCGGGCTGGGTTGCGACCATGGCAAAGTCTAGTTTGGACCATATCAGGACCTGCTAAGACAAGCCAAGACCAACTTGGACCAGAACTTGACTAAGCTTTGACCAGCTTGGACATGTTATGACCAAAACATTGACTAAGCTTTTGACCAGCTTGGACATGTTATGACCAAAAACATTGACCCTTTGACCAAACGCTCATGTTTCCCCATGGCTTAGACATATCAGTTAAAGCTTGGACATGTTATTGACCCTATGCGGAAATGGTGTCCATCTTGACCCCGTGGGAGTTAAAATAAATACCGCCAGCCACCAGCCCTGCCTTCGGGCTGAACTTGTTGCGACCATGGCAAAAAAAACTAGTTTGGACCATATCAGGACCTGCTAAACGCTTGGTTTCCCAAGACATCTTGACCAAAACTGGCAACGGACCATATCAGACCTGAAGACAAGCAAGACAACTTGACTAAGCTTTGACCAGCTTGGACATGTTATGACCAATTTTGACCAGACCCTATGCTCAGGTTTCCACGAAAAATTGACCTTGTGTCACATCTTGACCCCGTGGGAGTTAAGCAATACCGCCGGTAAATGCCCGGCCTTCAGGCTGGGTTGACCATGGCAAAGACTAGTTTGGACCATATCAGGACCTGACATGCCAAAACAAACTTGGACCAGAACTTTGAGCTTTTGACCAGCTTGGACATGTTATGACCAAAACATTGACAAAACATTTGACTAAGCTTTGACCAGCTTGGACATGTTATGACCAATTTTGACCAGTGACCCTATGCGGAAACGCTCGGGTTTCCCACGAAAAAATGACTTTGTGTCACATCTTGACCCCGTGGGTGTTAAGTAAATACCGCCAGCCACGGAAGCAGCCCGGCCTTCGGGCTGGGTTGCGACCATGGCAAAGTCTAGTTTGGACCATATCAGGACCTGCTAAGACATGCCAAAACCAACTTGGACCAGAACTTGACTAAAAGCTTTGACCAGAACATGTTATGACCAAAACATTGACTAAGCTTTGACCAGCTTGGACATGTTATGACCAATTTTGACCAGTGACCCTATGGGGAAACGCTCGGGTTTCCCACGAAAAATGACGTTGTGTCACATCTTGACCCCGTGGGAGTTAAGTAAATACCGCCGGCCACGGAAGCAGCCCGGCCTTCGGGCTGGGTTGCGACCATGGCAAAGTCTAGTTTGGACCATATCAGGACCTGCTAAGACATGCAAAACCAACTTGGACCAGAACTTGACTAAGCTTTGACCAGCTTGGACATGTTATGACCAAAACATTGACAAAGCTTTGACCAGCTTGGACATGTTATGACCAAAACATTGACTAAGCTTTGACCAGCTTGGACATGTTATGACCAATCTTTGACCAGTGACCCATATGCGGAAACGCTCTTTTGACCAGGGTTTCCCACGAAAAAATGACTTTGTGTCACATCTTGACCCCGTGGGAGTTAAGTAAATACCGCCGGCCACGGAAGCAGCACGGCCTTCAGGCTGGGTTGCGACCATGGCAAAAGTCTAGTTTGGACCATATCAGGACCTAAGCTAAAACAACTTGCCAAGACCAACTTGGACCAGAACTTGACTAAGCTTTGACCAGCTTGGACATGTTATGACCAAAAACATTGACTAAAAAATGACTTTGACCAGCTTGGACATGTTATGACCAAAACATTGACTGGCAAAAGTCTTTGACCAGCCTTGGACATGTTAACGACCAAAACATTGACTAAGTTTTGACCAGCTTGGAAGCTTTGACCAGCTTGGACAAATGACCAAAATATTGACAAATCTTTGACCAGCTTGGACATGTTATGACCAATCTTTGACCAGTGACCCTATGCGGAATTGCTTGGGTTTCCCACGAAAAACGACTTTGTGTCACATCTTGACGTCGTGGAGTTAAGTAAATACCGCCGGCCACGGAAGCAGCACGGCCTTCGGGCTGTGTTGCGACCATGGCAAAGTCTAGTTTGGACCATATCAGGACCTGCTAAAACATGCCAAAACCAACTTGGACCAGAACTTGACTAAGGACATTTGACCAGCTTGGACATGTTATGACCAAAACATTGACTAAGCTTTGACCAGCTTGGACATGTTATGACAAATTTTGACCAGTGACCCTATGCGGAAACGCTCATGTTTCCACGAAAAACGACCTTGTGTCACATCTTGACCCCGTCGTGGGAGATAAGTAAATACCGCCGGCCACGGAAGCAGCCCGGCCTTCGGGTTGGGTTGCGACCATGGCAAAGTCTAGTTTGGACCATATCAGGACCTGCTAAGACAAGCTAAGACCAACTTGGACCAGAACTAGACTAAGCTTTTGACCAGCTTGGACATGTT